GTTAGCACAAGCTATCAGGTCTAACTCACACCCACCCACATCTACTCATGTATTTATCCAACCTATTTTTAAAGCTACACAACGTTCTGGCCTCTATAACGGTACTTGGGAGTTTGTTCCACTCATCCACAACTCTATTACCAAACCAGTACTTTCCTATATCCCTCCTGAATCTGAATTTTTCCAACTTAAAACCATTGCTGCGAGTCCTGTCTAGGCTAGATATTATCAGCACACTATTTACATCCCCTTTATTTATTCCTGTCTTCCACTTATAAACCTCAATCATATCCCCCCTAATTCTACGTCTTTCTAGAGAGTGCAGTTTCAGGGCCCTTAGTCTATCCTCATAGGGAAGGTTTCTGATACATGGGATCATCTTTGTCATCCTCCTTTGTACATTTTCCAGAGAATTTATATCCATTCTGTAATACGGTGACCAAAACTGTGCAGCATAATCTAAATGAGGCCTAACCAAGGATGTATAGAGTTGAAGAACAACCTGAGGACTCCTATTATTTATGCTTCTTGATATGAAGCCAAGGATTCTATTAGCTTTATTGCGAACACTTATGCACTGTTGTCTTGGTTTCAGATTACTGCTAACCAGAACTCCTAAATCTTTTTCGCAATCCGTAATATTAAGATCTACATTATTTAGTTTATATGTGGCATGGTTATTGTCCTGTCCAACATTTAGAACTTTGCATTTGTCTATATTAAACTGCATCTGCCACTTCTCCGACCACTGCATCAGTCTATTCAAATCTTCCTGGAGTGCTCGAATGTCCTCGTCAGAATGAATTCGACGGCCTATTTTGGTGTCATCGGCAAACTTGCCGATGTCGCTCTTTATGCCCTCATCTATGTCGTTTATGTAGATTGTGAACAGCAGGGGGCCCAACACTGACCCCTGTGGAACACCGCTCGTGACGCTTCCCCACTCTGATTTCTCCCCATTTATGCAAACTCTCTGCTGCCTATTTGTCAACCATGCCTCTATCCAGGAAAAAATTTCTCCTCCTATTCCATGTGCTTTAATTTTCCTCAATAGTCTCTGATGTGGGACCCTGTCAAAAGCCTTACTGAAGTCCATATACACAATATCATATTCGTTACCATGATCTACCTCCTCAAATACCTTAGTGAAAAAAGTTAATAAATTCGTAAGGCAGGAACGTCCCTTTGTAAAACCATGCTGAGATTCGTTGATTAATTTATGCTTTTCAAGGTGGCTACGAACTGCCTCGGCAATTATTGATTCCATAAATTTTCCCACTATGGAGGTTAGGCTTATTGGTCTATAGTTCGAAGCTAAGGACCTGTCACCTGTTTTGAAAATAGGTATCACATTTGCCATTTTCCACTTATCTGGCACCATGCCAGTTTGTAGTGATATGTTGAAAAGATTAGCCAAAGGTGTGCTAAGCTCCTCTTTACATTCCTTTAGAACCCTTGCATACAGTTCATCAGGGCCTGGGGATTTGTTAGGTTTTAATTTATCTATTTGCCTAAGGACCATGTCACTTGTGACCCTAATAGTGCACAGTTTATTATCGTCCTGTTCTACATAATTTATCATTACTGGAATATCACTGGTATCCTCCTGTGTAAAAACTGAGAGGAAGTATGTGTTAAAAATTCTACACATTTCCTTATCACTGTCAGTGAGCTGACCCGAGGAACTTTTGAGTGGGCCTATCTTGTCCCTGATCTTACTTCTGTATACCTGAAAAAATCCTTTTGGGTTAGTCTTCGATTCTCTTGCAACTTTAACCTCATAATCTCTTTTTGCTTTTCTAATTCCCTTTTTTATTTCTCTCTTTAACTGAATATATCGATTTCTTAATTGCCCCTCTCCTCTTTTGATTTGCCTATATATGCCTCTCTTTTGACCAATCAGATATTTTAATCTATTGTTCATCCATTTAGGATCATTTTTGTTTGATCTGATTTCCCTATTTGGAACATAATTTGACTGAGCAGCTAGAACTATGCCCTGGAAAGCATCATATCGGCAACCATCACCACCTACCTGACCCCTAGTCAGGTCATTCCAGTTCAGCCCACCTAAGTAATTTTTCAGTCCTATGAAATCAGCCAAGCGAAAGTCAGGGACGGAGACTTGATTGCCATTATTAGGGGAATTCCATGATATGTTAAAACTGAGTGATTTGTGATCACTCTCCCCAAGCTCATCATTAACCTCAAGATTATTAATTAGTGTTTCCCTACTGGCAAGAACCAAGTCAAGGAGGTTATTTCCCCTAGTTGGCTCTGTCACAAACTGTTTTAAAAAACAATCCTGGATCGTATCAAGAAAGTCACCCGACTCTAAATTTCCTGTCAAATTGCTCCAGTCAATCTGTCTATAGTTGAAATCTCCCATTAGCACAACATTTTCGTATGTAGATGCCTTACGAATTTCGTCCCATAGAAGTTTACTGCACTCCCTATCAAGATTTGGGGCCCTGTAAATCACACCCAAAATTAGTTTTTCTCGGCCCTCGAGAAGCTGTAACCAAACAGATTCAGTGGCTGACGCTTCTAATTTAATATCTTGTCTAACACAACAATTTAAATTGTCTCTGACATTCATCGCTACTCCACCACCTTTCCTGTTGACCCTGTCAGTGTGGAATAATTTATAGCCTTGTATGTGACATTCAGATGGCATCTCTCTATCTTTCAGATTGAGCCAGGTCTCTGTTATAGCAATAATATCTATGTTTCCTGCACTTGCAATTAATCTTAGCTCATCTATCTTATTTCTAACACTCCTGCTATTAGTATAGTAAACCTTAAGGGAGCTAGTCCCTTGCTGCCCTCTGCTGTCCCCCTTTGTTTTCTGACCTGTTCTATTGTCTTTATTTATAACTTCATGCTGAATGCCTTTTATACATTTACTGTTTCCAACCCTAGTGTTGCAACCTGCTTGTTTCCCACACACACCCATACCTCTATCTTCCATCAGTTTAAAATCATAGGCATTTCACCAATGGCCTTCTCAATCGAGTCTGCAAGTGCTACCACCCCTGCCCCAGAGAGATGAACCCCATCCCTTGCATACATATCATGTTTGCCATAAAAGTTGTTCCAGTTGTCAATGAATGGGATTGCAAGTTCCTTGCAGTATCTGTCTAGCCAGCAATTTACACCAATTGCCCTAGACAACCATTCATTTCCTACTCCCCTTCTAGGCAAGATGCTACATATGATTGGGATCCCTCCCTTAGACTTAATGAAATCTATAGCTGACCTGTACTTATCTAGCAGCTCTTCTCTCCTACCCTTCCCAATATCATTTCCACCAGCACTGAGACAGATAATGGGCTTGTTCCCATTACCTGACATGATATTATCCAGTCTGTTGACAATGTCCCCAACACCAGCTCCAGGGAAGCACACTCTATCTCTCATCTTCTTATTCCTATTACAAAAAGCACGGTCAACATATCTTACCTGAGAGTCACCAACCACAAGAATGCGCTTACCTTCATTAGCAGGGCAGTAGTACCCTTACCTTCACTGGCCACTGAAGTACATTCATCCTGGAGAACAGAGAAGCGATTTCCTACCTTCAGATCTTCACTCTTAACTTTCCTTACTCTGATGCGCCTCCCATTACTGTGAACAACTCGCCACTTGTAGCAGGTGCTGGGCTGCACCTCACTGCTGGTACCCGTTGCTACCTCCCCACCTACAGCCTCCTCACAGTGAGAGACAGACTGCACCTCACTGCTAGAAGCCTCATTCCCCACATCTCCAACCACCTCACACTCTCTCCCAGGCCCATTGAGGTGGACCTTCAGCCTCCTAATCTCCTCCTGGAGAAGCAAGACCTCCTCCTTCAACTCTCCAAACTCAGTTTTTAAAACACTGCAGAAGCAAGCCATGCTTTGTAACCGTCCACGCTAATCCCCAAAGCAGCTCAGGGTCTGTGACCTCACGTGACGACTGACCACTGAACACCACTGAACCACTGAACTTTGTATTGATGTAAAAAATAATTTGTAGTTAGGAGGAAAATATCTTTCTGGTAGATTTTTCTAACGTTACGTTGATGAAGGGAAATGAATGGCTCAATGTTGAATACAAAACTGAGATTCACTGCAATGTGTTGCTGCAAAGTGATGTTTAGGTTGGGAGACATATTTACAGCTTAATGTAAGCTTAGTATAATGTTTGAGTCAGGTTCAACATTTCTAGTTTGACGCTTGTGAAAGTTAATGTTAGGGTCAGAGTAGTTCAAGGTAGTTCAAGGTAAAGTTTAGGTCAGGATAAACACTGAGGGCAGAAAGTTGAAATTCAAATCGGTGCATACGTGGAAATGATTAGTCACCTAGCTCACATATGTCAATTTCCCACACACGCACACCTGGCATTAAACACACCTGGGCCAGGGACACTCCTGAAACAGGTCAAAAATTTCTTTTTTATTAGCCTGGCTACTTAAATTGTTTCTCCTTTACGGGAATTATCGTCTGCTAGTCATATTTCTCAGCAGCATTATTCTCTCATCGTCTCTCTTCCCTTACACTTTCTCTTTTTCTCTCATCGTCTTTCGTTTTATCTCTCTCCTCTGCGTCGTTGTTTTGGTTCAACGCGGTTGTTATCATATAAGATAATCACACACTGTGCTTATCCAGTGTGATGGACGCACTAAATCCTCAAAGCCTGCCTGACTCCCACTCTCTCTCTCTCTCTCTCTCTCACTCTCTCTTCATTTAATAATATTCTATTTCCTACCAAGCAGCCACTACCCTTCATCACAATCTGCTATGGCAGAGCCACTGACGGTCATTTCAGAAGCTAACGCCCATCTCAGCTACTAACGCTCGTTTCAGCCATTAACCCCCATCAGAACCGCTAACGCTCATTTCAGCTACTAATTCCTCCCTCAGCCACTACTAACCCTTGTCAGTCAGTCAGTAACCCCCCACCTCATCGACTAACCCACCTCTCAAGTTCTAACCGTCTTCCTCCTCCTCTTGTTACAGCTACGACGTGCGCTCTGGTGCGTACTCTCGGCCGAAGGAATGGGCTGATCCACACATCCTGGGAGAGCGAGCACACTTCAGCATGACTACCGTGCCGGCAGCTCTCGTTCTCAACCAGACTCGACCCAACGATCAAGCTGTATACCGCTGCCGCGTCGACTACAAGCGTCTCACGACTACCCACGCTAGAGTCAACCTCACGGTCATAGGTAAGTGTGATTGTGGGCCGCTGCCACCCACTCTAAAGTCACCTTCACGGTCATAGGTAAGTCTTAATGTGGGCCACCATTACCCATGCCATGGGCAGTCTCTTTTGAAGACTATCAACTCCCTTTCCAGAGATAACCTCAGCCATAGGTCAGTCATAGATGTGTAGGTCAGAACCACCTACACCAGGGTCAATTTCATCTATGGGTTAGTCCTGCTATGGCTTACCAACCCCCACACTAAGGTCAGCCTTATGGTCACTGGTAATTATCATTGAAAGTCAACATTACCCACGCCGGGTTGAACTTACAGCCGTAGGTGGGTCAGTATAGGTCAGTAATTCAATGGTTGGCTTTGCCTTATTGTGGATTTGTTCTATACTGTCGGTTCATCCCATGTTGTGGATATGTACCATACTGTGGGTCCATCCCAGATGAATATTGTGGGTTTCTCCCATATTGTGGGTCTATCCCATATTGTGGATTGGTCCCATGTTATGAATACGTCCCATATAGTAAGTAGACCATTTATTGTGAATCATTCTGATATGTGTGACAATATACAACATCATTTATCTTTTTTTAAAGCGAGCGTGTGTGTGTGTGTGTGTGTGTGTGTGTGTGTGTGGACAATTAGTGTTCTTACATTAGCCATGCTAGGTAAAACAACTTTTCCTTTTGAAGTTATTTAAATTAAATAAACCACATATGCTGTATTATATAACTTTCAGCATTTTCTTCATTTAGATATTTTTTTAATAATGTTATAATGTTATGCACACACGCATGGCATTACTACGCAGCTTGTGTGAGAACCAGCAGTCACTCGTGTATCCCCAACACTCAGTTGTGTCTCACGGTTTATAATGTACTTCTCCTTTATATTCATCTGTCATACATCTCTCCTCTTTAATTTTCATTAGTGATTGTATTACTGACCTTTTGTATATAGATAATTATGCTTTGTTAGAGTGGGTTAGAAACTTGTACAGGATTAACTTTTGTAAAACTTTAAACATTTATTAGTTTATGCGTTTAATTTTAATTATACTTTTATTGTGATTTAATTCAGTTATTTTTAATTGTTGTTCGTTGTTTACATATCCCTATCTACGTGAATAACAGGTTTTATTAAGCACATACTCTCCCATATCGTTGATTCGTTTTATACTGTGGATCCATCACTGTGGTGGTTCTACCCCTTATTGTGGGCCCATCCCATACTGTCTTGTCTGACTCTGATTGTAGGCAGGTTCCATGGTGTGAGTTCTTCCCTTATTGTGGACCGGTCTCATATTTTGTGTCTTTTTGTGTCGGTTCTGAATGTTTTGTGGGTCCTTTTTTTATTCTCGGATTTAGCGCTTCCATGTGAAATTAATAACATTATATAGGGTGTCCCGTAGCTTGTTCGCTGGCGCACTTAGCTCACACACTGAGGTCCGGAGTTTGAATCTCCGGTACGCTTGGTAAACATTAGCGACGTGTTTCCATAAGATACCTGCTGTCTCTGTTCACCCATCAGTATAAAATAGGTACCTGGATGTTAGTCGACTGGTGTGGGTCGCGTCCTGGGACAAAACTGACTTAATTTGCCCGAAATGCTCAGCATAACAAGGGGTTTTCTATATAGTAGTATGTCATTGATGTCAGCTAGGCCTGTATACCTTGTATACAGGCCTAGCCACGTATTGTGGCTCAGCCCCCTCTTGTGGGTTTGACCCTCTCTGTAAGTTGCGTTGCGGTGGGTCTGTTCTTTATTGATTTGTCATTATTTTAGTTGCGTGTCTGACCTATAGTGGTTAGTCAGTCCCTTATTGGTGGGTCCCTATAACAGACTGTTAGTCAGCGTAAAATTACACGGTGTAGACGATAAACTTTATGCCCTTGATTTGATTTTTTCTTGTGTGTTGTATGAAGGTAAATGTCTGTTGACAACTGTAGGGAAAAATGCACAAGAATATATATGCTTAGGACATGTTATACCGAAAACGTTTCGGTCCAGGCACATTGAACTCTTCAAAATTTTGAAGTAATCAAGGTCCCAGCATCGAAACGTCTGCAATAAAGATGTTGCAAGCGATTGCATTCATGGTTATTTTCCCTGATTGGCTGACTGATACGAAGCAACGAGAGATGTTAAATAGGACAGTATCCGTGTGGCGTTCCACAGGGATTGACTCCTCGAGTGTATCCATTTCGTATACAGACGACAATGAACCATGAATACGTTAATAAAAAAAACGCAGTCTTGCCGTTTCTGTTACCACAGACTTTCAGTCAACTTACGCAGAGCGCAGAGGAATACATACAGTCTAATGAACAAGAATAAGTTACTGCTATCAGGTGTCTGCTGCCGATTATATCGGTATTGTCAGTTAGCTATATGTATGTAAATAAGTTAATTTACATAAAATCTAACTTAACCTGATCTAACTTAGAATAATAAGTATAAGAATAGGAGTCAATTAGATTGCTGATACAGTTCACAAAATATCCGTGCTTAGGAGAAACTTAGGCGAAGTTATGGCACATCACCATCTTCACATGATAACTTGATATGTACCAAGATGCATCGAATCGCCAATTAAGTTTCCTCTCTAGACTCAGTGGGTTATTTGAGAGATTTTAGACATCTGTTAAGCCTTAGACAGGTATAAATGCGTTCGAATGCGCTCGTTCTACCTAGGTAACTAGTATTAGAGAACTAGCTATATGGACTTAGACTAATAGGTTTTGTTCTTAGTGTTGGAAGTTACTTTTAGTATAAAGAAATATAATGCATCAAAAATACGTAATGTTTAAAATAAGAATATATTTTATGAGCTAGTTAGCAGAGATAAAACAAAATAATGTTGGAGTGGTCATGGTAATGACCTGAAGTACAAGAGTCAATGTTTAGTAACAAGAAACGAACCTAAACCTAAATTAATAGTAGGTTACGTACATAGAAAGAGGTATTAGAAAAAATAGATAAAACAGAAGCAAAGACTGAATAACAGGGAATGTCAACAGATACTATTCAAAACTGTTTTATCTTTACAGATACTTTTGAACTTTTAAAAATGATAATCACGGGATATATATATATATATATATATATATATATATATAATATATTATATATATATATATATATTCTAAAATTTTCTCTTATACATTTAAGACATATTTTTTCCATTATGTTAATGTAATAATTAATAATTTTGTACCAAAAGAACCTTAGAAAACTTACCTAACCTTATAACAAGCGCAATTTAATTTAGCCTAATCCAACTTAATATATTTTTAATAAGTTTACAATAATTTAATGATAATTAATGAAATATATTTTTTAATTATGTTCAGAATGATTATTGCCGGTGAGTCCCAGGCCGGGACTCACCGGCGAACCTACAAGAACAAGCAATCTAACACAAGAGTCTTCAGGTTATTCTTCAACTCTATATATCGTTGGTTAGGCCTCACTTAGATTATGGTGCACAGTTCTGGTCACTGTATTACAGAATTGATATAAATGAACTGGAAAACGTACAAAGAATAATGACTAAATCGATAACATATATGAGAAATCTTTTCTATGAGGATAGACTGAGGGCCTTGAATCTGCGCACTCTAGAAAGGCATAGATTAGGGGAAATATGACTGAGGTGTATAAATGAAAAACTGGAATGAATAAGAGGGATGTAAATAACGTGTTAGAAGTTTCTACCCAAGAAAGGAGTCGCAACAATGGTTTCTAATTAGAAAAATTTAGAATTATGAAGGATATAGGAAAGCACTGGTTTGGTAACAGTGCTGTAGATGGGTAGAACAAACTTCTGACTAGCGACATTGAAGCTAAAACGTTGTGTAGCTTTATAAAAACGTTAGACAAATAAATGAGTGGGTGCGGGTAATTGTGTGTTGTTGGACCGACTGGCTAGGGCCGGTGGGTTTAATGCATTGCTCCCTCCTTCTTGAGTGGATGTGACTTGAACCTGACTGGCCTAGGCCAGTGTGTGACTTGGACCTACCTAGCATGGGCCAATAGGCCTGCTGTTGTGCTCCTTTCTTACGTTCTTATGCAGAAAAATTAACACACAATATTCCCTCGAGAGCAATGAAGTATGGAGGAGTTGGTGAAGTTATATTTACATTGAGAAGAGTCTGGCATATTACCCCCACGAGGGGCTGAGTTACCTACGTAAACGAGAAAATAAAAAAGGACAACAAAACAGAATTCCTAACATCCCCCACTGACATATATATATAGTCACTCTCACAAGAGTCACTTCTCACATTTACAATGCTCTTCTGAATATTAGAACACCTCAGAGTATCAAACAGAGGATTATGGAAATCTCTAAACATCTCTACAAACAGACATCTTCATAGAAGTACACTCTATTTAAGTAGGAGGAGATAATCCCCAGAACAGATGCTCGGTCCGTCCCTGACTCTCCATCCGGAAATCCTCACACACACACCCTTTTTTTCTCTCTCTCTCTCTCTCAGCCTCTTCCTCAGCCTCTCTCGCCAAGCAGAAGACTCGAGCAGAAGGATACTAGAGAAATTTTACCTCAGAAGGAAATGATTGGTTGAAAGATATGATGTATAATGACGCATGGCTCTGTCACCATACATCAGCGAATAGACAAGCAGAGTAGAGCACAATAAAAGTACTGTAAGCAGAGATACACAGGAATCGTGCCAGTCCGGTCTAGCACATCTTAACATAGTACGTATTCATCCCTACCACCACCACTCTTACTTACATAATAGAATAATTAATAATAATATTATATACATAAATCCCTATCACATTGCTAATAAATATTTATCCTTACGTCTATCCTATTTCAGCTTCAGACATGTAGAAATGTAAAGAATAAATATATATTGAGCTTAATATAAAACTTACATTAAAGTTACTTAAAATTCCAAAATGAGCCGTATAGCATTACTTCATAAAGATGATACCCCATAATGATTAAATTCACAGTTCGCTGGAATAGGCTACTATT